TGGGAGGGTAAAGCTGAATACTTTTATTTTGAAATGGTTACTGTTGGTTGCATGCAGTATTACACTAATAGGAGGAGCCATTGTTATCCCAGACTGTTGCGAATTCAAAAGGTTGATCAAAGCGTAAAGAAGCATATTGTTCTATATAATGATCATTTTTAAGATACAATATCGAAGGAATCTAGTTTTGTGGTTCAGTTGGATTCTCACGACTTATCTGATTGATTTCAAAGTTTACCTGGCTATTGCTATGTTCCCTGTGATGTTTGCACAGGCATTGCCTGCCTATAACGCGTGGGTATCTGGTTAGGAGTGAGGCTCGCGTAACTTAGCGGACGGCTGCGTCTACATTTATAGCTAGGCTAGAGGTAAGTGTTCTTTGCCTAACAATCCTAAAAGTCAGTGTTTTCTCACCTGTTCTCACCTGAGAACTCTGAGGCCAGTTCTTCAGTTGTGAAAATGCATTTTAGGCATTTACATTGAAACTGCGTCACATTGAGCTAATAGCTGACGATCACGAAAAATTTTTAAACTAATTTTTGAACTATAAGCTAGAAAAACGAAACTTGATCATTCAGTTCTTTGAACCCTTTTTTGAGTGAATTTTTGTCGGTCTCTGCTGAGCAGTACTGGCATTAGTTGGGGTCAGGAAATTATTCGTCCTCTATTCGGGTAGTTCTATTCTTTCTTCAGATTAATCATCTAACTGATACGAAACATGGTGTTGTCAGGTTCTTAACGGTATTTCTTGCTCAGACTTCTAGAGAAGTTTGCTTTTGAATTCACTGAGGTGAGATAATTTGATTGATTACTAAAGGTAATCTACAATACTTTGTTGATATTCATTGGCTGTTGCAATATTAATAAATAATTTTTACCCTAGCTATGGATTATCTCAGGGGTCAAATGCCTACATGCATGTCATGAATTTGAGATTTTTAACTACGTTGATCACAAATAAATATCATCATTCGAAGATCGAAAAACGAATCATTAATTTGAGTTAATAGTTTTAAAAACAGACTGAATAGGCTTTATTGTATTGAGCTCTTTTAGGAAGCAGCAGCCACTGCTTTGGTCATGTGATCACGAATCCATGTGGATATCGCAATGGCGGCTGCGCGCATTTGTGCGTGCTTAGCGCATTTCGTGAGGGTTCTGTTGCTGCGAATCGATATCGTTGTGCTTGTGAAATTGGCTACGTTCTATCCAAAGATCAGCGATCATGTCAAAGTAAGCTTGTCCATAGAAGTATCTTTTGATTGCTGAAAACTTTTTCATAGGTGTTCGAGAATATCTTCTCTTTGGAAGCAACAAGCAGGTGCGAGGATTTCTCCCTGAACATCGACTGTTCGGAGAGGCGATTTTACCGATTTCGCCCAAAGGAAGCCGTGCCTCCGGTCTCTATTACGACGTTGCATGCGACGTTGGCCGCCAGTGGATTTTCTATGCGGACATTGTCGACAATATCATCTACAAAGTGCGCCCACAAGGAACCGAAGAATCCACAGTGTTAGTAAAAAATAACGACGGCTTGGTGTCAATCTCGTATGATTGGATCGCACAGCTGCTGTACTACGTGGATAACATTCGAAAGACGCTAGAAGTGGTTCACGTCGTTTTTGCTAATGTTCATCGGACTTTGCTGAATAACCTAGAGGAGCCTTCTTCTGTCGTGATTCACCCTGGCAGAGGGTATGCCCTACAGTTTGCAATGCTCTTTCGCATTCATGATTAACATAATTTTTCAGGTACTTGTTTTACTCTGAAGTCCGTCGACCGGCAAAGATTACCCGGTGTTCGAACAACGCGCAGAACTGCGTTGTTGTCCGAGACGTGTCACTCGGCCGCCCTACTGGACTTGCAATTGACTATCTGGAAGATCGCGTCTACTGGGCGGACACAATACTAAAGCACATCCAGTATATGGACTTACAAGGAAACAACGTTAAGACGATTGAAATTGTACCGAGACCTTCGCCGCTCTCCGTTGCGATTCTGAAAGGTTTCTCATGACTCAGATATCGCTTCGTCTTACTCGTAATACTTTAGATCAACTGTATTTTATTCATACCGAGCCCTCTTCGATTCGACGGGTACATAAGATTAATGGAGGCACGCCGGTGACCGTCAAAGCGTTATCTGACCAGCAGACTCTATTTGGTCTCAAAGCTTGTTCTGTAACAAACGAGCTGACGTTCCGTACGCGTGGCATCACATTTCGTCTCTGAACCCTTTTGAATAGCTATTCTTGTTTCAGACAATAATCCGTGCCACAACAACGGCGGTTGTAAGAAGTTCTGTTTCTTTATCGTTGACCCGAAAACAGCTATTCCTCAAAAACTTTGTGGCTGTCCGTTCGGCGAAGCTCTGGCATCAGACAAAGTTAGCTGCGTGCCGAATTCCGCAGTAAGATTTTTAGTATCACTGTTCGCCGTTAAATCGGGTAATGAAGCCTGTTGCCCTAATTTGTTGTTAATAATGTACGTAATAAGTTACTTGCGTAACTTTTCCTTCAAAGAGATTGCAGCTTTCGTTTGCCAGAATGTCATGAGCTGCATCAGTAAAAATTTGACATACACAGCTTCGTTTAAACTGAGTAAGGTTGCTAACGTTGGATGATGTGAATATTTTGTATTGCAGAATCCACTACTGAATTTTCTTTACGTTACCTTTAAAATATTTTACTGCGCTCGTTGCTTAAAATGGTCACATCGACAAGCGTCATCTTCTCTTGAAAAGCTCGCAAAGAACACCCTGGTTTTTACACCGCGGAGGAGCCAGGCTAAGAAAGAATGCTTGAAGCATATTTGCGCGCACCCTCAAATTTAGCCTATCATTATTTCGTTCGTAGAGTCAGTTGGAACTACAGATGAAACAGGGAACTTTGACTATGGAAGAAAATTAGGAAGATCGATAAGTCAGCCGAAAGTGTGACTGCAAACAATGCAAACGGGAGAATAACTTGTCTGGCAAGCACGGGAGTCGATTCGTACTTATCCGGAGTTCAAAAATTCCCTATTTACTGTTCAGAATAAACGCCTCGCAAGTTACGGGGCACCTCCAGCGGCTCTTCACCATTCGCTCTCTGGATTCGCTTTTCCGAGCGTTAATTTTTTGCCAGCATTAGAGGTAAGTTCAAATGCACGCACAAGACTATAAATTCAGAGTGCCTTGCTATATTTCAAAGTAATGAATGCCTGCGTAACTGCTCGGTTGGTATGCATTGGTGTATCAGCAGTTTATGAAAATCGCTAGTACGAGAGTAGTTCATGAATTCGTCGAGAATTAGTTCACCCAATGAATCTTGGTTTTTCCATTTGGACTTTTAAACAGAGTGGTCTTCTAGAAAATCAGCCTTAAACGTCATAACATAAATTATTTATACATGATTGCCATTAATCGTTAGCTGGCCATTTCACTTCGCATGATATATTTTCACGGACTGCTACCTTAGCTGTTTTGGAATGTACTGTAATGTTATTTCGTATATTTGTCCATGTCGCCCCCCCCGCCACCCAACGATGCACACTGTCAAGAGATTGAACGTAAAACGTTGAATGGAATGCAAAGTATTAAGTTTCTCTGATGGGCTGCCATATTTGTTTTACTTCGACTGAGTTATGATGTGAGATGGACTGTTTATCTGCAGTTTTTAATTCGGTTTGTGTTAAATGTGAAAAAAATAGGTGTTGAAATAAACAGGTTTTCAGTTTAAGGGTTCCTGCTATGAACGTATTTACAAACTGAAGGACTCCCTAACTGGTACATAAGATAACGGCGGGAAAAACTCAGATTAAGTTGCGTTTCTGTAACATACATCAGGGTAATTTTCATTTACTATCCCTGAACCGCAGTTGTACGTTTGCTTTATCTGGTATGTTGTTTTGAAGGAGACTTTCAGAATTACGAAGCGCAGTTCAATATGATCATAAAGGACTTTTTACATTTAGTTTTATTTGCCCCGTGTTTTAACTTTTGGCTAAAACGTTCAAGGCTTTCATAAATGTTATTGTATGCAACAAACACGAAAACATATGTGTATCATTTATTTACTTGTATTCAACAACTGGTATTTTTCATAGAAGCTAATCGCAAAAATTTTTCAGGAACAACAAGAAACACCCTGTGGCAATAACAAAACGCAGTTCGCATGCAGCAATGGGCGGTGTATACTTAAAGACTGGGTTTGCGACGGTGAAGACGACTGCCACGATGGCTCCGATGAAGTGCAGGATGGCGTGCCATGCCATTCGCCTAAAACATGTGCTCCCGGTCAAATCATGTGTAACAGCTCCAAGCGATGCATTCCGAAAGTGTATGCTTGTGACGGTGATAACGACTGCGGTGACTATTCAGATGAAGACCCAAAATATTGCGAAAATGGCAAATTTCGTAAGCTCAACCACGGCTACTGTCGATAAGCAGTCGCTAACGGCGTTTATTATAGCTAGCTGTTCGCCGAAGAAGTTTCAATGCAAGAATCATCGCTGCATTCCGGAGCAGTGGTTGTGTGACTCAGACAATGACTGTGGCGATGGATCAGATGAAACTTATGAACTCTGTCGTAAGATGCTTCCGCTTTTATTTTCGAACATGTATACACTGAAACTCAGGCAGTGACGATACGGACTTTTCATTTATGGTTAGAGCGATAAAAAACTTGCCCTATCGCCGTGCGTTATCAAAAAATGATATGACTGTATCACAGAATCTTCGCATAGTGAAAGGAGGAAAAATCGTTCACTTTCTAAGGGTGCATGTCGAATGTGACGGAGGAATGGACACTAATGACAGGTTTCGTCCTCTGTTTAGGCGGATCTAAGCCTGGATGTAATAACTAGGCCACCAAGCTTTCAGGATATCGAAGCAGTGCAAATGCTATTACTTTTTGCCTCCGTAGTCTTTCACAGTTTGGGAGGGTAAGTGATGCAATGAAACGATTCTAAATCTTCAGTCAGTCGATCAGTTAGCCAGTCAATCATCTTCGATGTTATTTTATCCTTTCGAGCTGCGGTGGCAGACGCGTCTGACAACGTCTCCCATGTTATCTAATGGCCAACGTTTCAGATTCAGCAGAAAATAACCCCAGCCTGAAGTTGTATATCGAGACACTTGCCCCAGAACATTTTTGGCTGTTACAGAGGTCTTCATCCGGTAACTTGGGCAAATAGTGGCTGCTTCGCCTTTCTTTCTGAAAGCATTCGCACTGTGTATCCAGATCAATGTAACTGTGACTTTTCAGTCTGGAAAAGCAGCGGCTGAACGCTAAGTCTCTTTCGGACCATGTCGAGGCGCGTGAGCCCAGCGTTTGTTCTCAAAAGGGCTCATTTCAGCCGGTCGTACCCCGGATCGATTTTTTTAGTCATGACTCACTACTCATGAAAATACAGTACATGAAAATTGGGATAAGGATCGGCTTGAACACAGAGAGCTTAGTCTTCAGATTTATCTCTGCTTCAGTTATAACAATATAGGCTAGCTCACAAAGAAGGTCTCTATCCATTCCAATTCCGCGGGAGATAACTTCCTACCGTTTAACATCACCAGTTCAGAACTTCAAAGTAGGTGAACTTCTCCATCAGCTTCGCTTCTTCTCCATATATCTGAAGTGCACAAGGGGCAGTATGGCGAGAAATTATGGGTTTTTCGTGTTAGACACGTTCGCACGTATATCTGCCGCGTCGCACTGGCAGATGGCGCTGGAGATCAAATTCAGGAGGTACATGGCCGTATACAAACAGCAGACTTATCATATCCACATCAGCGTACACGAAATTTAAAAGAACGCAGCGTTGACCAATACCAGCGCCAGCGTTGAAAGTTCTCGACCTAACGCCCTATTTACTCTGACGTGGCTCCTGCTATTATTATATAATGGGCTGAATGACTCGTAGGAACGAGATCTGATATGTTTGCGGGGCATGCCCATAGCTTTTTGCGCAGGATCCGGTCATAGGCTTTTACGAGGTTCACAAGGCATATGTAAATCGGATGAACAAACTACCGTTGTTTTTGAAAAATCTGGCGCCAGGCGAAGATGTGGCCAAATGTATTCTATCCTAACTTGAAGCCACAATGCTTTTCTTGTGTGATTCCGCGGGACCTCTTTTCTAATACCTTGGTGTAAACTTACCCTTGAATGGTCACTAAGGTAATGCCCCTGTAATTGGAGCACTCAGTATGGTCTCCCTTTTTTAGCTGGAATACTACAGTGCCCGGTCTCCAGTCGACTGATATCTTCCCCGTAGCTGCTGCAGTTTCACTGACACGTATGAGTTACAAAATTCCTTCTTTGCCAGCAAATTTACGCATTTCCCGTCGGATCGATTCCAGCGACCTTACCAGTTTTTAAGCTTTTTACAACTTCTTGAATTCATCATCCGAAAGACAAATATCCCTTGTCTCCTGCTGTTGAATCAAGTCTTTCTACGATTGCTCGCAATTTAGTAGTTACTCGAAGTGTGCTCTCTCCATCGCCGAAGTGCTTGCTGGTCTTTTGCAAGAAGGCATCCGGACTTGTCGTTCAGTTATCTTAGATTGCCATTCGTTCAATCTCAGGGGTGGCGGATGGTCTGTCGGGATGCATTGTTTGCTATCTGGATATTCGACTGCAGAACCATGCCAAACTTTTATAGGAATCAGTTTTCGCATTGGACTGTTTTCGCTACCACATACGGCGCTTTTTCTAACTGCATTCGAGTTTATGATTCTTTTCTTTCAATCCTTCTCATTAATGCAGTTTTCTCTGTGACGCCCAGCTTAGCCTGTCGTGTCCATCAGGAAGTTTGTTTTTGAGCCCCTGGCGGCATTCCGCCGATGTTAAGCCACAGCATTCAGCGGTATTTCTGAGTAGGCCACTTTTAGAAAGTTTCCACTATTTTGCCAAATCACCGGTCATCACTGGGATCTGCAACTCAGGAGACGCTTCCAAGTTTTGAGATTGTGTCCGCAGAAGGTAATGTTTCTCATTTGATTCTCTGCTTGCTTCAGCCGCCTGGACTTCGCATCATATTTCATCATTTACAGCGGAGGGTGCGAACAGCAGGGTGATGATTTTGGTTAGTAGCTTTGCGCCTCTCATAACGCGTACATCCGTCTCCAGTCGTTAAGTCAGACGGTACGATTAAATCGATAAGCGACCTCTGCACAGACTTACCTGTACCAGGTATACTACTGCACGTTTCGATCGTCTCGAAGCAGGTGTTCGTAGCAGACAGTCCGTTGTTTAAACGAAATCGCAACAGCTTCATTGCGTTATTGTTGAGGTCTATAGAGCCGTTCTTTCATATGTCGTCTTTCCGTTGTTAAGTGTCTGTTCAGATATGCGCCCATTGGAATTATGGACTACGTAGTCGGCACTTCGTGCAATGTACGCGCCACTTCTTCAAAGAAGGACTCATATTCTCCATCTAAATTGGGCGCACAGACTTGTAACAAGGTCGAAGTGTGTACTGTTGTAACTTCAGTCGAGTAATTTCCGCTCTTCCGAAATACTTCTATTTATTAATTCTCTCGGCAAGGTTGAGTTGTCGCAGAATATCATCACCAACCTGAGCGCGTTTGGTGAAGGCGACACCTGTGCGGAATAGCTTCCACCCGCAGAGATTCAGGGTTCTAGAGCCGTGTCATTTCGTTGATTGGATTGATAGTCTTTCAATCGTTATCTTGCTGCCGTTTCATCTAGCTCCTGCTCCTTTCGTCTGAATGCGGAGACATAACAATTTCCATTGTGAGCTACCACTGGCGGTATTGTTGCAGTTGAACATTATGTGACCTGCTATTTTGTCCTCATGTTGTCTGGCTCCTCTGTTCAGGAGGGGCAGCGGCTTCGTTGCTGACTTTTATTTTAGTTTTCTTCTTGTCGATCCTTAGCAGCTCTTGCCATTCTGCTGCAACCCCCCTCTGAATGCCATAATATGTGAAGCAGGTTCCAATCGCCGATTTTTCACAGATTGTCTAAGTTCCCGTACAGCCTTTATTGTCCTTGGTAACCTGTTAGACGACGCAGGCGATAACCGCAATGCTATGATAGCCAGGAGGCTATGTTTCACGGAGAGACCTCGCCAGGATCCCCAAACTTTTCCTTTCTCGTCTGAACTTAGAACCGGGAACTGTCGATTTATTTAACGTTTTTTAAAAGTTCAGTGCTGACACTATCCAGCCTGCGTCTCGAATATTTCTAAATGGAGTGCTCTTCTAAACAGAATTGGTATAAAGAACATATCTCGATCAGCCTCAGATTCCGATGCCTCGTTAGCGGCGTGTTTCAGAGTTCATCAGCGGCTTTCATTGTTGCCATAGCTGCTCCAAAGTGTCTGCATCTCCGGAATTCTTCTTCCTACCTGACCTGTTTATTTGCTTTCCGCTTGCCGCTAAGGGAACTCCTTGGTTGGATAGGGCAGAACAACCGCCTGTTTTAAGCACGGGTTTAGCATAACGAGGTTTGCACTGAAACATTGTTACCACTCATTCTCCCAGCGGACATGCAAATAATTTTCAAGCATGCCAGTCTGTTTTTTTTGCGTTAAATAAACCGACCACTATCCGTCTGTTTTTTAGACAACCGGACATGCACTGTGTCGCAGTTTCGATGCAGCAATGGCCGATGTATCCCTGTGTACTGGGTGTGCGACGGCGACAATGACTGTTATGATTCAAGTGATGAAGATGTTTTGCGATGCCCGCCGGTTTCTTGCCGTCCGCAGGAGTTCAGATGCGCAAACCATCGCCAGTGTATCGCTAGCAGCAAACAGTGCGACGGAACGCCTGATTGCAAGGACTATTCAGACGAAGAAGGCTGTGATGGTATGGTGATTATCATGACGCCTGCCGTGTTTTCGGCATTCTGTGACGTGTTTATTTTCTTTTTTCAGTGCCCGATGTCGTAACCAAATGCTCAGAGAACGAGTTCAAGTGTGTTAAAAGCGGCGTGTGCATACCAAAATCGTGGATGTGCGATGGACAAAAGGACTGCGACGACGGTTCGGATGAAGTTGAAGAACACTGCGGTAGTGAAGTTACCGTCTTAGTTTCTGACCGCCAAAGCGTTTTTTTTTGCAGATCGAAACGTATGCCCAGCCAATCATTTCTTGTGCAAGAACAATCGCTGTATATACAAGATGTGGATCTGCGACGGCGTCGATGATTGCGCAGACGGTTCAGACGAGTCTGCTGACGCTGGATGCGGTGAGTGCACTTTTATTTTTGCAGTCAGTGGAGGAAATTACAATCGTTTGGCAAGTTTAGTCGTATCAAGCAAAAATTGTTCGTCTGGCTTGTGGAAGTGTTCTTTTTCCGAAGGACTGCGCTGTATTCCAGTTGATCAGGTCTGTGACGGCAAACCGCATTGTCCAAATGGTGAAGACGAAGGCCCGGGCTGTGGTATATTTCTTTATGTTATTTTTTAGCAACGCTGCTGTATCCATATTCTTTAAGCCTTGAAAACATGCAGTAGCGGACCCGGCCAGTGCAGTTTCCAGTGCCACGCTGGCCCTGACGGCAGTTTCTGTATCTGCCCTCCTGGAGAATATCTTGTTGACAGTTATTCGTGTGCAGGCAAGTGCTTTTGACTTTTTCAGTGTCTAAGAGTATAGAGATCTTCCTGTCTACTGAGAATTTTGCTGCATCGCCATGCGAGTAGTGAACTGCTGCAGTTAAAAGTTTTGAAACGGCAAACCGTCTCGTATCAGCCCTGCTGTTTCATAGGCTGTTATCTCAGTTTGTTGATCATCAGGGGTCATTGCTTTGCTTGTTTTGCTGTGATATCTGTTTTTGTAACACAGCTTTACGGCAGTGAACTTGGGTACGATATTGCACTTATTTTGGAATCTGTATTGCATGCCCTTTTTTGCAGATGTGAAACCTGGCAAACCCCAATGCCAATTGGTTACTATGTATTGATTTTAGGCAATTGAAATCAGTGTTTGATCAACGTAGAACTCTAATGAAGTTTTCATGTATAGACATCGATGAATGCAAAGATCCGTGGTCTTGTTCCCAAGGTTGTCAAAACCAGAAGGGTAGTTTCATGTGTTCTTGCACTGACGGTTATCAACTAAGAGCAGACAAGCGTACCTGCAAGGCGTTAGGTAAGTTTCACTCATTTTGATTCATGTTTTTAGATTCAGGAAAGTTTTGTTGTATCAGCAAAGATTTTTTTATTCTGGTTTTCTGCCTCCTAATCTATGAATCATTTGCAGTAACTGCCCGCGTTTAGGCAACGAAACAATGCGTTTGTACGTATCGAACAGGTATCGGATATTTTGGGGATCTTCTGACCTGAACAACTGGTGGACGTTTGCGGCACCAGTCGAGAACGCCATAGCTCTGGCCTGGGATTCTGTTGATAATCGCGTCTATTGGTCAGATTTGAAGGACAAATCAATAAACTATGCAACGATAAACGGTTCTGAAAAGCAAGTGTTTCTCAACACGGGGCTTGACGTAGTTGAAGGAATGGCCGTTGATTGGATTGGCCGAAACCTGTACTGGGTAGACAGTAGTCTAAATTCAATCGAAGTCGCCCGTTTGACCCCGCCTCATTACCGTAGCGTTTTGATCACTGCAAACGTTTCGAGACCTCGTGGTCTCGCGTTGGATCCACGCGCAGGGCATCGTCTTTTATTTTGGACTGATTGGGGTGTGAATCCGCACATTGCTCGAGCTAACATGGATGGAAGTGGACGTATGGTTATAGTCGACACAAAGATTTACTGGCCTAACACATTGGCCCTTGACTTAGCAACGAAACGAGTCTTCTTTGCTGACAGTAAAATGGATTACATTGATTTCGTAAACTACGATGGTAGTGGCCGTGTTCAGGTACTGGCCAACGACAAGGTAAGCATTTGGTTGCACTGTTTTTTGTAAGAATCCCTGACCTTCTGATTTTCAGTTGGTTCTTCATCCTCACAGTCTGGCAATATTTGAAGGTAAAATATATTGGTCTGATCGTCGACTGCAAAAGGTTATTACGTTTGATCCAATGAACAAGTCTCATAGCTCGCATTCTTATTCTAAAGTTCTTGGAATCTTAGCCGTTCACGAATCGCTACAGCCAAAAAGTAATGAATGATCTGTATGCAATTGTTTAAGATGCGATTGCTGCTGTTTGATAGGTAAGAGCAGCTGTGCCGAACATCCTTGCAGTCATGTTTGTTTGCTTACCCCGAAGGCGCTTGGTTTTACTTGTGCATGCCCGCTTGGTTTCAAACTTGGTTCGTCAAATCTTAATTGCATCGAAGGTAAAACAATCATGTAGTGTCGTCGTTTTTGTGCACTCAGTGGTGTACTCTTTTAGACGAGAAGGAGTTCCTGATCGCCGTATCAAGAAAGCTGATCATGGGCTACAAGCTGGACACGGGACTAAATCCGTCGAAAACTGAGAACATGGCCGCAAATGGCATGATTCCTTTGCCGAACCTACAGAACGTGAAAGACATGGACTTCGATGAACACGCGCGCCGTGTTTACTACGTGCAATTGCCGTCGACAAAGGACCATTTGGTAGCGGAGCGAAACATGAAGAAGGCGTTCGTTTTCCAGTCTAAGCTTGACGGAACAAACACCAGTGTGCTATTTCCTAGCGAGAGTCCGGGCAACGCGCACTGTGTCGCTTTCGACTGGATTGGACGCAATCTGTACATAGGCAACAAGGAGTCATCGACGATCGAGGCGGTGCGAGTCACCGAACCAAGATACCAGGTAGTGGTGTTAAGCAGCGACAACACCGCTCTTTCGGTTGTGTTTCCGGTCGCTTTGGCCTTGCATCCAACCAAGGGGTATATAATTGTTGATATCACTTTTCAAAAACGCAGTGAATGACGTGTGCTGGTTTTCAGCCTGCTATTTTGGTTGGACGAAGGTGGACCGGGCGTTCCGCGGAAGATCGGCCGCGCAACGATGGATGGTTTATCAGTGAAGGCGATCGTTACCCTGGACTTGACGCGACTGAGCTACATCGCAGTTGACCCGGATTCAGAGATGGTCTACTTCTCGCAGGCTGAAAGAGGCACAGTAATTCCATTTTTTGTGATAGCTTGTTACTTTTTTACTACTAACGCATTTTTGCCAGATAGAGAGGTGCAATTTCGACGGCCTTCGCCGTCAGGTGGTTTTCGACAGTGGCGGCTTGAACCAGCCAAATGGCCTTTGCATTTTCCAACACAGACTCTTCTTCGCTGACCCAGCACATCAGGCAGTGTTTGCCGCTGATCTGGTCGAGTCGGAAATGGACAAGACAAACTCGCTGCAGATCTACAAAGTCCGTGGTGACCTGGATGACGTTATTACAGTGAAAATCTTTCACACGCGAAAGTGTATGTACAAATTGAACTGACGGAAATTAGTGTTTTAAGTATTGAAGCAAAACTTAAAAACCTAAACCGATCGCTGT